TACTATACTATACTATACTATACTATACTATACTATACTATACTATAACACTGCTCCTACAGTACAAAATGCAATGTACAGTTACATCATCCAACAGATCCTCTGTTTATCAGCAGATTGAGCTCTCCATCAGAATATAAGGAACATACTTGGTATGGCCTTAGAGGGAAATGATGGTTGGATGTTCCAAGATTAGAGTATAGAATTAAACAGGATTTTATCTGTGTCAGTGTGCGCTATCACCGCACATGCACACACACACACACACACACACCCATGCCCAACAGCACCACATGTCCCGGAGCAAAACTAAAATAAGCACCAGTAGAACTACTGAAGCCCTCAGTTCACACAATGCAGCAGTCTGTGGGAATGCATGAATGTGCACTTCAGCACAGCAGTGCTCACAGCTTAATTCCACTTTCAATGTAATATTTTGGAATCTATTCAAATGGAATATAATTCTATTTTTCTACATCTGTTAGCTTCCTGACCCACCAGTGCAGACGAAATTGAATGAGAGCGTGTGCAATAAGGTAAAAGAACAAGATGTGCAGAAAGAGAAGGAACAAGCTTTGATCCCATCTACAACCTTGTGGCATTTCAGCCTAGGCAAGTGACAGTTGGCGTGATTAAATCTTTGACCCCTAATCTGTGGTAGCTGGTTCAGTGATCCAGCTCAACTATCTGTACTGTGTGGAAGTGCTCTTGTGTTTCTTTCATTATAAGATTTAAACTGCCTCATGAAAAAAAAACACAAGCTGAAAAAGAGAAGATACCCTTGAGTTAATTATGATATGCAATTATCTCAGAGAGCGGCTATCAGTTTAATTAAACATTTACAAATGTCTTTTACATAATACAAATTTTAGAAAAAAAGAATCATTGTAAAATTGAGAGGAGTTCAATATTTTGTTGCGAAGTAAGAAAAACATCTCGGATGTTTGTTTGTTTCACAATAAGGAGACAGAAAGCCAGTTCCATTGTTACTGTATTTTCTTAGCATTTCAACCCTACAAGTCATTTTCCTAACACATTCACAGAGATACAGATATGAATGAAATACCAAAAAACGACTGGAGCACAAACAGCAAGAAGTGTTAAGAAAAGTATTTCATCTGCAAGAAACTGCACACAGTCTTCTTGCCTCTAAATGGTTTCCTGTGAGTGAATCACACAGAGCCTCCACAGACAGCTTGCCATCTCCCATGTGGGCTGCTATTTAATGTGTACAATTTTCAGAACCAGTCGGTTATGACACTGACGAATATTTCACTCATACACTTGCACAGACACTCTTTAACACACAAATTCACATAAAAACGCACCACCTGCCTGCTGTTCAGGCCATGTTTTTGTGAGCACATTTGCCGATGTTCAATTAAAAATCCCTTCTGATTAAAGATTCAAATGGCTGACATTGTGAGTAATGGGCTCTTGTATAAGTAAAGAGGAATTTACAGTAGAGCGGATGAAGACAGATGAGACAAAACACCCCAATAGGCAGTGTCTAGCATTTGCACTTCTGGGGCACTAATGTAAATGCATGTGTGAAAGAGCTACATACACAGCAGTCTGAACTAATTGACCTTTTTCACAGACTTATGGTTCATGAAGCAAAATGTTCAAGCTTTTTTTCTAATCATTATTAAAGAAGTATTTTGAACATAGCAGAAGATTTTTTTTAAATCAATGGTCAAATAGTGCAGTCTTGTATTTATATGGGTTGACTGAGTCATGAAATTGTAAGTTATAATGTAAAGTATACTAACCTGATGAGTAGTGAAAAGCCCCTGACAGCATTCATTTACAAGAATTACCATTTCAAAGAGGGTGATTGTCTGCAGTTTATGATTACTGTTCAATTCATTCTAAGAGCAAACATTACAGGATCACCGACATTCAGTTTTTGACTGCTGGATAAAAACATCCAGGGAATAAAAGTGGAGAATCATTATTGTAAAGCTACCACACCATCCTAATGGAAAGGGATATATGCAGAGGATGAGGGACAAGCAGATACTTTGAAACCCAAAATCCAAACAGAACAGCAGCTCTAATGCTTGGAAATAGAATCTGTTGTTTCAAGCACAGATCAGGTGCAACAAAGATGCTAACGCAAGAGAAATTCAGGACAACAATACAGGAGAGGTACAATGAATTAGAATGAATGCCAAGCCCCCTAAGAGAGCCCTGGTCACCTTAACATGAGGGCAGCTGGGGCTGACCTGTAAGGTCACTCAGAACTTAGATACTTGGAATTTGGGCGGTGGCAGCGGAGACTGCAAAGCATGAACTCAGAGCTCTTATTACTCATTTGAGAAGGTACACTGGAGAAATTGAGGCCAGGAAAATAAATGAATAAAAAAATTCTCCACTTAGACATCCAAAATGTGTGCTCAGTGGATGGGAAATAAGATGAGAATGGACCCACCCAACAATGAAACAGAGCAATACAGGAAGAGAGCATCATATGCTCCATGGATATTGGATTTGAGAGCTGACCTCAGCCAAGAACTGGAACCAGTGGCCTTCATGGTGGAAAATATCCAAGAAAAAGTACCTAGTATGACATATCCTCACTGGCTAAAGAAACAGACTGCACTTCATAAACGAAAAAACAACACAAATGAATCAGCTGCTAATGGATGGGAACCACCAGACTGGTCAACACAGGCTGGACAGTCATTCCATCAAACCACCAGCCATTAACATGCCTCTGTACAACATAGATGCTCCTGTCAGGCATCCCAGAGAATGTCAGGAAAGCCCGGACTCGCCTCAATACATCTCGTCGGGAAATGTAGGACAAAAATCTGGACGCCATTTGGAGTTGATCATTGCTGGTGTTTGATATGAAAGTGAGGCAAGGTGAACACGACTGAAAAGGTAGACCCATTCCCAAAAAGGGGTGTAAGTAGGGTAAACATCGTTGTGACAAGATTAGCAGGTGCTGTGTGTGTATTTCAATATGCTCTTATTCAGCCTAAGATACAAAGCCTGAAACAGCTGTCAGTAGGTTCAGCACCATGGACAGTTCTCCAGAGAGAAACACAAGCATGTTATGTGTGGACTGTTTTCATCTACTGTATGTTAACCGCTGAGCAACTCATTTTGATGAGATGGCTTTCAGACAGTATTATTACTGCAATGACTAATTGACACAAGAGGCTTTCCCCTTCCTACTCTGTCTTTTGATCTCTTGAAGTTAGGAGGGCTGTGTGCATAATCTCTGATGTGCACGAGTAACCTCATTACACTCTCCCTTTCTCTTTCATTCTTACCGTGTTGATTATGCATGATGGATACAGGAATAATCCCGCTCGTGGCTGATTTTTTTCAATCTAAGAGTTGTTTCTATGCAAAAAAGGGAGCATATCAAGTTACGGAACACATCTCCAGAATGCAATTAAAGCACGAGCAGCTCTTGCACAGTATTTGAAGTTATCTTCAAATTTAAAGAAATGTTTAATCCTCTGAAAATGATAAACGTACAACTGAGGCTTGTT